AATTTAGCAAAAGAACTATTGAGAACAGTGAAAAGAAGAAAAACCAGTTATTTAGGGCATTTGTTGCGCAACGAGAAATACTACATCACTCAGTTGATAATAAAAGGCAAAATAAAAGGAAAGCGAGGAATTGGAAGAAAAAAATTGTCCTGGTTACGTAATATCAGAAACTGGACAGGACTTGGATTTGAGGAACTCTTAAGAGCAGCTGAAGATAGACAAACGTTTGCCACCATAACCGCTAACCTCCATTGATGGAGACGGCACTTGAAGAAGAAGAAGGTTAAGGTCAGGGCTCTTGATCACAGAGCTCATAGTCAAGAATGCAATTTTTGCCTTTTTTTTCTGATTTTTCTGAGAATGTCAATGTTAGGACGACAAAAAGATGCAAAATAGTTTACCACTTTTACCCTCAGGCTTTCTCCTGAAACACCAATCGTTAAGGGGAGTGAACGGAAAAAATCGATTTACCAAGAATCTGTATGCCATAGAAAAAAATATTTCGAATAAAAAATGTAGCTAAGATAATAATGAACAAAACTGTTTATTATAATTTTTTGTGTTGAATGAACTGTTCTTTCAGAAACAATGCTTAAAGCGATCAGCAATTTTTAATGATTACGCACGCGAAATGTTCAATAAAATTTGAATTAACTTTGAAAATAAGGCTATTATCGAGCACAAGTTAATTAAATCTAGGCCAAGTACTTTCGCTTAAAATAGCATCTTCAGGGGCATTTCGTCAAAATAAGAACTATCCGGCAAACGTAGAATGTGGAAACATTAAAATAACATAAATTATACAAAAACACTACACTAAAACGAGGACAAACAGTTTAAAATTAATTATTTTAAACTGTTAATTGTAAAAAAGGCAAACATCGTGCAACGTTTATTTGTTGACCAGATTTATAGAAACTGACTGCATTTACAGCAAAATACAAAAATTGTATCAAAAAGATGCACTCCTCACCTTTAAAACGCATTTTGATTTTTGCCGATAGGGTACTTTGATGAAAAGATATCGAATTTTTACTGTCGACTTGATACATATTTTACTTAACATTGATTTCGCGAGCGGAACTGACATTCAAACCGCCGGTCGTTTCAAGCGTTATTTCTGAGAGAACCGTTCATTCGACAGAAAAAGTGCAAAATCACATTTGTTCAAAATCATCTCAGCTATATTTTTTATTTGAAATTTTTTTTCTAGTGCCTACAGGTTCTTAGTAAATCGATTTTTGTGGTGGAAGCTTGTAAAAGGTAAAAGTGGTAAAATTTTTGCAACTGTTTTGGGATCCCAAAAATTGATATTCTCAACAAAATTCAGCTTATTCGTATAATTTTTAGGGGTCAAATCTCTGACGACTGGACTAAAAATATTCGTAAAATAAATGTGTCAAACACAGTTTTCCATAACTATTGAGGTTATATATCTTCTTAATACGACAAGTGTTATACATTAAAACCCTTTATAGTGCGGGCTATTCTGAAGTGGAGAAGAACAAAACTAACTTTTATCTGATATAGAAGTAATTGGGGGTTAACAAAGAGACAATACGACTCTCACGAATGTTATATCCCAAAGTTTTATCTTCAATATTTCAGCACTCCCGTTGGGACAACACTACTCGATGGTTACACACTCTCAAAACAGCAACAACAATTGCGGTTATGCTTTATTAGTGAAAGCAACGAATTGGTAGAGGCGTCCAATGTACATTGTACTCCTAACAACAAGGCCACTATGTGCACAGTCAAATTTACTGGTTCGTTATCAAAGTAACGCTATCGACGTTAATTTACATCATAAACAGGGTGTTGGTAAGGTTATCTGATTAGAATATTACGGGATCATTTTGTAGCGGTCATATTTTCAAAGAAATTTATATACAAATATAACACAACAAAGTTTATCGGAAAAATATAAATAATCATGAATATATCTGGACCTAAGTATTAAAAGGGTCAACTCCATTTTCGTTGTTTTGAGTAATAAGCAATTTCAGTTTCAGGAAAAGTAAAATTTCAATTTTAAATTTAGGTAAAATAGATTTTTTTTTATTTATTTAATTAACGGATATACCATTTTTACAAAAATATGACGTCAACCTTTACAAAGCTTATATATCGGTTGCGTTAATAAAAAACAAACCAAAATTAAAATCAAACAAAATTCAATTAAAGTAGTAGCTTAAGTTATTAAATAATGCTCAAAATCTCTCAAATGATTTCTTAAATGTTGATGTAGATATTCCAAATAACTCTAAACTATTGCTGTGCTCATTAGCAGTTCGTAAAATTCTTGTAATGGGTTCATTTTGGCCATAGTTCGTACTGTGAAATGGAATGTTGAAAATCTCAGTGTTACGAGTTCTTCTAGTATTAAGATTAAAACTTATTAAACTTAGTAACTCTGGATCTTGAACATATCCATTTATAATTTTAATAAGAAAACATAGATATTTAGTATTGACATTATATCATCATATGTGTATTGCTGTCCAATAAAACCAATTTTGTAAGCACATACCCTCAAGAATTTATTTTGAACTCTCTCGATACTGTTGATGTCACTGTTATATGAAGGAGACCAAATGAGAGAACCATACTCCAAAACTGATCGAACTAAACTAAAGTATAACATTTTTAAAGTTTGTACTGAAAACTGATTACAGTTTCTAAGAATAAATCTTAACATTTTTAAAGCTTTAGCTGAAGTTTCGTTAATGTGATATTTAAAAGTTAGTTTAGAATCAAAATTTATACCTAAATCTTTAATATTATGACGTGCCTCTAAAGGTACATTATTTATACAATAATCATAATTTACAAACTCTCTTGATCTTCCAAAAGTAATTTTAAAACATTTTTGTATATTTAAGTATAGCATGTTTATCTCACACCAACTCACTAAGCTTTTAATGTCATTCTGTAATAAAGAGGCATCAACTAGGTCATTAACTATTCGAAATATCTTAAGGTCATCAGCAAACATTAGAAATTTACTATTTTTAATCACTGAGGATATATCATTACCAAATATATTAAATAAGAGAGGCCCAATATGCGACCCCTGAGGAACTCTTGAGGTTACAGATACTCGTTGAGATAAAAAATATCCATATTTAACATACTGACATCTATCAGATATATAACTACCTATCCACTCAATTATTTTACCTCCAAATCCATAGCCATTTAATTTGGCAATAAGCAGATCATGGTTAACTCTATCGAAGGCTTTTGAGAAGTCTGTGTAGATAGCGTCAACCTGACCCTTCTGTTCCACTGAATTAGCTATAAAATTCGTATACAATATTAAGTTCGTGCATGTAGACTTACCCTTAGAAAAGCCATGTTGTCTAACATCAATTAAATCTTTACAATTCCATGTCAAAAAGTTTGGGTAATACAGATTGGCTACAAACCGCTCGATAATTCTCAACATCATTTTTATTACCAGACTTGAAAATTGGTGTTAGATAACTAGTCTTCCAAAGATCAGGAAAGATGTCGGTACTCAATGAGGAATTAAATAAGTAGCAGATAGGTTTTGCAAGAGTGAAAATGCAATGCTTGAGAACATAAACTGGCAAACAATCTGGTCCAAGCGATAATTTCCAAGGCATCTTTAAAACACTATCAATTATGTCAGAGACCTCAATACTATAATTATCCACATTTACACTCTGCTGATAGTTAAAAATTGGGATCTGATTAATTTTAGAATTAGAATATGTAGTTGAGAAAAACTTACCAAATAGATTGACTATGTCTTGAGCATTATCACTTGTACTATCACCGTAGAACATGTTAGATGGCAGATTTTGACTTTTACGTTTATTATTGATATATTTCCAAAAATGTCGAGGATTAGATAGAATCCCATTCTCAATATTATTCAAATAGTTACTATAACATTGAAAGGAGACTTGTTTAATTTCATTTCTTAACTGAGAAAATCTTAAATAATCATCCCTTCTACCAAACAATTTATACTGCTTATGTAATTTCTTTTTTAAATATATCAACTTCCTTAATTTACCATTAAACCAAATCGGAAACGAACTTGTTTTAAAATTTTTGATCGGAACAAAGAAATCAAAACCTGTAAACATAAAATCATAAAATACTGCTAAGCTATAATTTACATCATCTGATAAAAGTAAGTCCCAATTTAAACTTGCAAAGTAATCATTTAGTCCGATGTAATTTGCATTTTTAAAATCATAATAAAATTCCTCGTAGTTCAGTTGATCACGCTTTTCAAAACCAGTTAATTCTACAATTATAGGTGAATGGTGGATACTATTATCAAATAGTGAATCAAGTTGTTGAAAGTAGTTGAAACATATTAAAATATCCAAAAGAATTTGCCAAATACACAGCAGGATAGTCTTCAGGGCATTCAACATTTAATCCAAAGTTGTCATTACTCCAGGAAGCATTTGGTAAATTATAATCACCACACAGTAACAAGTTTTCACACTTCTTCATCACATATTCAACTGAACTGCAGTGCAACATGTATACATTGAGGTCGGATGCAGGAGGGATATAAACTCCACCCAAAACTATGCACTTATTATTAACTTTCAGTGATACAAAAATTTGTTCTATTTCACAATCAGGGATTATCACTTTCTGCGCACTTATGTCATTTTTAACAGCAATCAACATACCTCCACCCCTAGTTTTTCCTGTAGAAGCAGGATTACGATCATTTCTAAACACGTTATAACCAATAAGTCCTAATTCTGCATCGCTATATTCACAAGTTAACCAAGTTTCCACCAAAATGATTATATGATAATTACATTGAGATATGACAATTTCCAGTGACTTTAGTTTTGTTCTTAATCCACCAACATTTTGATAATACATTGATAACGGAGGTGCACTTATGTTTCGTTGTGTCTAGTTTTTTTGTGTGGAATTATCATTTTTGCAAATTTTAGGTATACCTTTAATATATCGTATAAATAAATCTTTCTCACCTTGTTCTTGGCGTTTTTTGAGGTCCTCTTTAACTTCATTGCGTTTGTTGAGTTGCTGGGGGGTTAAATCAGAATTAATAAATATCTTCTTTGCTTCGGCAACGTAAATCTTATTTTTTAAAATATTCTTTACATCAAAAGTATTTGTTAATACAATTTTTAGGGAACGAGTACCATTTTTGTTTTTCTTACCAAATCTAACAGCTTTGACAACTTTAATATCCTCTTGAGTAATTTCCTTGAAAATTGAGGTCACAGTAGCCAAATCATCAGAAGCAGCATTTCTTTTATCCACAGATTCACCTAGATTATGAATGATTAAGTTGTTCATTCTCTTTTGTCTTTCAAATACCTCACTTACAATATCCTCTTCTTGGTATTTAGAATTCTGCAATTTCATATCATTAACCTCATTCTGCAGTTTTTCAATTAATTTGAATAGTTTTGGAACAAGTTTCATTCCAGATTTACACTCTTGGCACAAAAACTGTAGAACACGATTCTTCTTTAACTCCATAACCCTAATTTCTGATGAACACAGACCAGAACAATAATTATCTTTGTGAACTGGTCGGTCACAGCTATCACAATAAAGCATTTCTTCTTCAGTACCATCTTTCTTGCATTCCATGCACTTCATTTTCTAAATTTTAATTTGAAAGCCGGTCCTGTACACTAATGAGCTTTATCAATATTATTGTCTACAGATAATGGACAGCTTTTTTCGTGATTTGTAAATTACCACAAAAAAGGGCAAAACACGTGAGTTATTTTCTGTTAATTGCAGATTAACCAACTATTACACCAAAAATTAGCTTTAAATTGATACCAATTTTATAATTAGTTTCACTGTTTAACTTAAGATATTATGATTTATTTACAGGAAGGTTAATTAAGGTGTGTACACTGAGACTAGCTTTTTGGAACTGGTTACTTAATTACGGTTATTAACTGGTTATTACTAATAACGAAATTTCAAGTAAAATAAAATTAGTATTTTTTATTACTAAATATTGTATTGTTAAATGTTTAGTAAGTTTAAATTTTGAAGGAGTTTAGCCCTTTAAAAATTAAGGAATAGTAATCTTTCTTGGAGATTGGCCTTGGAATAAAATATATGTTTTTGCAAAATTCGTTTATTTAAGTATTTAAGAAATAACATAGCTTCCTATAAAAACAAAATACTTGCAGTTTTACTGTATTTCTTCCTCTAAATCAGGACAGTCATCGGCATCTAATGTTGAGGAACGATTTAACTGTTTAAAATACATTTTGTTATGATCACTAATGTACGGTAACAATTGCATGAAATCATCATATTTTTGGTTGGCTATTGGTAGCTATTCAAACTTTAAAGGGTTTACCTGCTCAGAAAATGTAAGAACGTTGCCCCAATCCAATCCCATTGTTTTATTCACTTATCCACGACCCAGTTCTTCAAATAAACCCTAAGAGCCGTTCGCACCAGTTTCGTTTATTTTGCTTGCCCTATCTCTACCAAAATAATTTCTATTCCCAATTTCCAACCCCCTATAATAATACCCTATGTGGTAGGCAAAATATTCGTTACACTTTTACCCTCGGGCTTTCCCCTGAAACACCAAAAAATCGATTAACCAAGAATCTGTATGTCATGGAAAAAAATACTTCAAATAAAAGATGTAGCTAAGATAATTCTGAACACAAATGTTTATTATCTTTTTTTTGTGTAGAATTAACAGTTCTCTGAGAAACAATGCTTGAAATGATCGGCAATTTTTAATGGTTACGTGCACGAGATTAATGTTCAATAAAATTTGTGTCAGCTTGACGGTAAAAATTCGATATCTTTTGATCCGAGTGTCCTATCGACAAAAATCAAGAAGCGTTTTAAAGGTAAAGAGAGCAGCTTTTGAACGCAATTTTTGTATTTTGCCGCAAATAAACTGAGTTTTTATAAAAACGTGGGGCGATTTTTGCAAATTTTTATGATTCTCATGAGATGAATACAAATATTTATCACTTTTATTAACCAGCCACTATAGAATTTCGATAACTAGAGCCTAATCTTTAAAACACATAGCATGGTATTTTAGTTTTGAGTTGTGGCAGCAAATGTGAGGCGTTTAAAATATGCATAAAAAACGCTAAATTTAAACTTTTACATTACAAACGATCTAAAACATTTAAAGCTGTCTTGTTCATTAACGCTAGTACGGTTTTTTGCAATTACCCATCTTCTGCTACGAACTACACTCAAAACCATCTTCTTGAAGGTATTTCCCGTGACGTGCGATTGTTTGTAAGGTAAAAGTTTAAAAATAGCTTTCTGTAAAAACAAAATATTTGTAGTTTTACTGTATTTCTTCCTCTAAAGCAAGATAGTAATTGGCATCTAATCAACAACATCTAATAAACATCTAATAAACAACTGCATTAAATCATCATATTTTTGGTTGGCTATTGGTAGTTGTTTAAGGTTTAAAGGTTTTACCTGCTCAGAAAATGTAAGAATATCTTGATTTCGCATGGATCCCCTTCTGAGATCCACTTTTTTAGAATCACCATCATTAAAGTCAGTTTTATACAAAAACTGATATGGTACCAAATCTCTTTCTTTATTTTTTTGTGCACTAAACCATTTTAGGATATCTCCATAATTTAAAAATTCTTCTTCGACAACCTCAAATACGCAAAAAATTTGTTTTTTTCTGTAAACTTCTTTAATAAAATTTCTCCAGTAATGTGGCACCTCGATTTTCATAACAGTTTCTTAGCTTTTTCAATGGATGCATTTATCGTATCAGCATCCATATGGGTGTCCCTTGGCTACATAAAGTAGTGGTTTATCTCAAATAATGAGTTGTGTCTGGTAGCTCCTTTAAAATCCTACAGAACATTGTAGCAACATAAATGTTGTAGAAATTAAAAGTTTTAATGTTTTTTGAAGACATATCCAAAACAAACTTTCTTAAACAAGAAGCTATTGCTTGACCTTCACGTGCTGTTATAGTTTCGTTCCATAAAAAAACAAATCCTTCCATTGCCAATATGATCTGTTTTATGAAGAGGGAGGCTGTAGATCCACAGTTGTAAAACGATACACCGATTCTCAAAAAGGGGGTTGGCAAACATTTTTCCAATTCAAATGAAACGTCACATTACTTATATTTAATTTACCCCCTTTCTTTATCTTCCTTCTTATTTTCATAGCAGCTTTAAACTATTTCCAAATGGTTATTTAAATCTTGTTCTATTGTAATCTTTTTGTGTGCCTCATTTTCTGTAAGGTTTGTTTTATTATAATATAACTTAAGGCGAAGAATTAATCGATCACACTTCGCACGTGTATCATTTGCAGGATGATGAAAATCAAGAATAAGTTCTTAAATTAAATATTTGAAATTATTTGAGCAAAGCAACTTACATTTCATTTAAATTTTTCAGTATAAAGTCTATCTTCTTTTTCTAGTGCCGTCTCCACTGATGAAGGTTGGCTATAACCATTGCAAATTCGTCTCTATCTTCTGCTTTTCTTAAGAGTGTCTGTGTGTTTAACCCGGTCCAGTCGAGAATAATTTTCAGCCAGGCTATTGATCGTCTACCAGGACCCCTTTTTCCTTCGATTTTATCCTTCATAACGAGCTGCAAGATTAGAAATGATAAGTACAGTCGTACTTATCATTTTTAAGTATGTGATCCAAATATTCTGTGTTTCGCTTTTTAATGGTGGTCGAAAGTTTTCTGTCTCTTCCAATTCTGTTTAACACCATTTCGTTCGTAATATCCGGTCCATGATACCTTCAAGATTCTCCTAAAAAGCCTCATCTCAAAAGCTTTCAGTTTTCTCATTAGGTCAACATTAACATATATACATATATACACGTAAAACGTAACACACATATATATATATATATATATATATATATATATATATACACTTGAAATATACAAGTAGCATTATATCGTGTGTAAGTTGTCATTAGTCCGATTGAAACGTGTGATGGGTTAAATAAAAGGGGAGGAAATAACGAATATATTAAAATAGAAAAAATCAACAAGGCAACTACCAAAAGGGCACTACACAGGTCTTTATTATTAATGACCTAAAGCTATTTTCTTTTGGCTTAATAAAGTAATTATTATTTTATTGGGAATAAGCCACAATTGAATTTTAAAATACGTTTGTTTACGTTTTAATTTTCAATTCAGAAATCGTTCTCAAAATACAAACATTAATAAATTAAACAAATTTTGTTTTTTGATACTTAGTGCAAAATTCTTCTAATAATGTAATTTTATCTTAATAATTTTTATTAAACAGACATATAATATCGAAAAACTGGCTTATCTAAATGGTACTACGAGGCAAAAAAGTTTTAAAAACATTGTGTTTAACTATAGTTTATTTTTATGAACGAGAGAGTAATTAGCATAATTTTAACTGGTACCTCCGACCACTCCATGGGCGTGCTCAAGATTAATTGAAAAATTACTTTGAATAATTGTAAAAAATAAATGAATTATTTCAGTGTTATAAAGTGTTATGTGTATGTAAACAAAAGTGACCTATTTTATCACACACTATATTAGAACTGACTGGCCTACATTAAAAAAGGTTTTAAAAAATTCACATTTTTTTTAATTTTTAAAAATTACAAAAGAGAAAAAGAGTTTTTAAAACTGTCTAAGGTATGTTAAATAGATGAATAAAAATATTAATATAAAACTTACAGCTACTTGTTACAAATCCAAATCATGTTCAGAAGATGAACTTTCAGAACCAAGATTTAAAATAACTGGCTCGATCATTTTATCAGTAATATTATCCAGCTTCCACATTTTTTCCTCTTCTTGAATAGTGTGATTTACTGCCTTTTCCCAGTTTTCAGGTTTTACATTATTTACGGCCTCCAAAAACAACTGTTTGACAAAAACAACATGAATTTTAAAAGTGGTATTTTTTCTTGAAACTTCACTCTTTATCTGTGCCCATACCAGTTCAATCGGGTTTAATTCACAATGATATGGTGGGGATCTAAGTACTGTCATTCCACGATTTTTGGCAATTTCATCAATTTCGTATTTTTTGAATTTTTCTTTATGAAGGGCACACAACGAATAAAGTTCCTTTCTTATAGATCTGGGATGGTACGTAATATTTTTTGAACTCAGCCAATTCTGCAAGTCTTTTTTTAACCACTTGGTTGTGGACAGTCCTTCTATAAGTCTGGAGTGATAACTTGCATTATCCATTACTATTACACAGTTCTTAGGAAGGAGATCTATCATTTGTTCGAACCATTCTTGAAAGACATCAGCGTTCATGTCTTCATGGTAGTCACCGGTACGAGTTGATTCAAAAGTTCAATAGATTCAAAAACCACCTTCAACAAAACCGTCTGAACTGCCAATGTGTACTATTATCAGCCTGCGTCCCTTTCCTGATGGTGGGTTTAAACCAGTAGATAAGTTATTTACAAAAGCGTGCCTTTGACTTGTAACAGTTTCATCCTGCCAAAATTTATTTGATGTATGACCCTCGTTGATCCATGTTTCATCAAGATAAAATATTTTTCTTTTTTGGTTTCTCATTTCCTTTATGGTTCTTAGAAAATGTCTTCTCCATATGACAATATCGCTTCTTTCTAATAAAATAGA